ATCTCTCCAGGTTAGGAAAAACTCTGACCAGCTTATATGCATTTAATTTGAATTACTGCTGGGCAGCTTGTGAGTTTTCCACCATAGATCAATGAGGTCTTATAATTATACTGTATATTGTATTAATCTGGTTCTGAAAAGAAACTAGTAACTAAAGTTATAAAATAAGTGTAGTAGAGTAAAATACAATATGCAGTGGTCAAAGTACGAAGTAACAGAAAATGAAAATATTCAGATACTTTGAAATTGCACATGGGTACAACGCTTGAGTAAATATACTTATTTACTTTCCACCACTGTTTAGTACGGATTTAAAAAAGTGTGATTAATTTTAACTATGGACAATTGTGTGATTAGACGAGACTGGATATATTTGAGTCTGTTGACAGCACTGGTTTGACACCTAAACTAACTACAGTTATCTTTGCATGAAAATGACTTGATTTCTTCTGGAGTTTGAGGCTGAGACCAACCACTTCCTCCTGTACTGAATCTATGTCTGAACATCAGTAGCAGGAGGACGACAGGGTGAATGATGATAGCATTATGTTTATAAACGGTGTAGTCTAGGGAATTTTACTAAGCATAAATGACTTTGACATCGGTGGCGTCAAGAAGATGAGGTGTGGCCTGCTCATCTGATTGTCTGTCTGCTATGTCTGTGTGGTGTATAGAACTTCCACCTGGTCCAGAGACAGAAGATCTCTGACTCCCCCAGCCAGCCTGCAAACAAGAAGGCCAGGTCAGTACAGCACATCTAGGTAAAGGCTGTTTGTCGCTGTGACATGGCAGAGTTGGGCCAAACGTCTACTGTCAAGTTTACCAATGTACAGATAATATTATGGCTAAGACTACAACTGTGTGTGCAGACTGGAAGAAACCCAGTCCCCCAGTAAGAAGCTTCCTCCAGAGTCCACTCCTCACATCATGTTCACAGGCTTTGAGCCTGCACAAGTACAGCAGTACACAAAGGTAAAGTCACCTGTGTCTTTTCTTCTCACTTCTCACTTTTCTGTTACCATTAGACTTCACAAAGCCACATCATTTAAACCGGACAGTGACTAACCATGAGGCTGAATGCTAATGGTATACTCTCCCTCATGTAACCAAGTACTCAAATGAAGTTGGTATCGCTCAGTGTGTAAAATGCCATCGTGACCTTCTCTACAGCCTTCTGCTAAATGATATGTTTAATATTGTGTGTTCTTGGCTCCTCCTCCCCTGCAGAGGTTATACGCTTTAGGTGGTGAGTTAGCAGACAGCGGTCAGAAAGTCACTCACCTGGTGGCCAGTAAGGTGACTCGCACCGTCAAGTTCCTCACTGCCATGTCTGTGGTCAAATACGTTGTCAGCCCAGAGTGGCTGGAGGAGAGCTGGAGGAGCCAGAAGTTTGTAGGTAAGTGTGTGTGTGTGTGTGTATTTATGTATATACAGTTGGGTCGGTAAGTATTTTTGACAGTGACACAGTTTTCTTAATTTTGCTTCTGTACACCACCACAATAGATCTGAAATGAAGCAGTGGAGATGCTGTTGAAGTATAGACTGTTTGCTTTTTAGTGATTAAATTGTGTGTGGATTATGATGTTAGTTTAATATTCTATAGATGTTCCTTCAGATGAATGAGCCAACACTCTCTCCTATAAAACACTATGCTCCCAGTGTATGTAGCTAAACTGGATACACATGTTTTAAATGGAATGTATGTGATTGTTGTGTAGGTGGAACCTGTATCGTTGGACTTGATAGGCAAACGTGTTTATTTCTGTATTGACCCACAAAATGCCCACATATTGCTTCATGCATAGGCTGCTTTACTGCTGCGGACACTATGAGCACACTAGTTATGTGTGTGGCAAGTTGTTTGTGTGTTGTTACAAACGGGCCAGCAGAGGTGGTTTTCACCTAGAGCACAAGTCCTGGCCTGCATGAACAAAGTGAAGCTCAAATCAACCTCCAGTCTGTTAAAAACACCCGATATATTTGTCAGCAACAAGATTTTGTTTTTAACATGTGCATCAATGATGTTGCAATCATAACAAAGTGTTTTACATGTGTAGTACAGCTGTGAGTGATCACATTGTCAAAGTCAGCATAGATACAGGGTTATGACAGCAGCTGTGATAAATCCCATTTAAAATGAGTGTTTCCAAAGAAGAAAGCAGCAAACTGTACATGGTGTTCACTGCTGTGTTCCAGTAACTTATGGTGCTGTGTTAACCATGTTTAATGCAGCAGATCCTTGACTAGAGACGTGAAACCCAGCCTATACAGCGTTTAATATTGTTTGGCTTGACAGTTCAGAACCCTGTACTGTTGGTGGATGGTATAGTAGGCTTTGTGACATCTGGTGGCCAAGAGGAGAACTGCAGGTTGGATTTCATGAGCCTCATGCAGGGTTAAAAACACTGCATTTATGACACAGCGCCACCGACCGAATACAGCACGGTGAAAAGGTGTGACACTTTGAATGCTCACATCTGTACCTCACATCTGCTTAAGGGAAAACTGTGCATTGCAGGTTACACCATGAAGAAGGCCGTTACATTACACACAGGCTGTAACCCATTTTTACTTGTATTGTTTTTAAATTCTTCATCGTGTGAGCCATCTCTTTTTATTCATTTCAAGAAGAGTCCCTTTGACATTTGTTTCCAATAAACTGTAGTTTGTCTTGCTGTAATGACTGTCTCACATTGTTTGTGCGGGTGTGTTGCAGATGAGCAGAGTCATACTCTGAGAGATGCGGAGGCAGAAGTGTTGTTTGGCTTCAGTCTGGAGGAGTCACTTAAGAGAGCCCACAGCGCACCACTCTTCAAGGTCAGACAATACGCTTCACACTCGTACAGCAGGAAATCAGTTTTAACTAAACAAAGGGAAAGACTGATTGGGGTAGGAGCAGAATCTATTTTTCACAGAGGGTTATTTTCATTGCTGTAAATATGGAAACTAGCTTACTCAGCTTGGTGAACATTTGTGATGTCCTTGGATGGGTTCTGATGAATGGATTTTGGGGTTGTCCTTGGCTGACTGTCTTTCTGTCTGTGTATCTATACCTGTCTGTTACATGTGATGGGCGATGTAGGGGAAATACTTTTACCTCACCCCAGGGATCTGCCCTAGCCTCAGCACCATGAAGTCCATCTTGGAGAGTGCAGGTGGAAAGTTGCTGGGAAAACAGCCCTCCTACAGAAAGATCATGGAGCACAAACAGAACAAGGTCCTTAAACATACCTGGAATTGTGAAAATCAGTGGCTCTTCTTGGCAAAGTTTTCAATGTGCAACAAAAATAGTTTATCCTCATTGTTATATAAGTTCTTATGATATATTTTTATCCAAAGTCCTTGCAGCCAGTGGTAGGTGATGGTGTTAAGATGACAGTAATAACCTTTATTTTCATAAATCAAAATAAAACCTACTTAGTAAAAAACATGAATCCCAATAAAGGCAGCTGAACCAGCAGGCACTAAAATCCTTCTGATTATTTAACCATTGCTAAATGTTTTCGCTCACTGTGCTGGAACTCTAGCACCGGGCTGTTTTCTATTCAAAAATAGATAATTATATGTCCAGGGAAAATATTCAGTTACCAGTCTACAGATTCCGACTGGACCTTTTCAGGTTAACATGAGGATTTGCGTTTAGAAATGATTAGATCTGATGGTCTTTTCTTTCTGAAACGGGTCACAATATGCTCATTTGGCATCTATGTGACTTGTAGCCTACAGCAACAGCAGGCTATGTTTTAGTATCTTATACCACCAAATATTTTCTTTTAATAGTTTAGTTTTGTTTGTGCTTGTATATTATGTTTATTTTGAGCGTATAACAGTAACCTAGATATCCACTCACATTCAGCCATCATCAGCACCTAATGTCACACAACATTTGTGTCAGTTGTGGTAATAAACATTCATTTTCAATGAATTAATGTCTACATTCTCACTTTAAGCTCTTTATTTTTATTCATTTCTATATAAATACTTTTTTTTTAGAGTTGTAACTACCTGTTTTGTTGCAGAACCTTCCAGAGATCATCTTAATTTCCTGTGACAACGACCTCCACCTCTGTAGAGAATATTTCTTGAAAAACATCGGTAAGATAACATGTTTGTAAAGCAGTATTTGTGAGGGCACTCACTGACATGATGCATTCCCTAACCCTAATAAACTAAACCTGTAAACTAAACCTGATTCTAACCTGAACCTTAAAACCAAGGCTTAACCCTCAAACAGCACTAAAATGTCCACACAACAATGGTATTGAACTCAAACTTGTCAGCACAACCAAAGAAAGACATGTATACACACACACTCAAGTCCTGATTATTGTAGACTTTAATGACACTGAAACTTTTGGTTGTATAAAGGAGCTGACAGAGATTGATCCTAAGCTGTTTTCATATATGGACTCCAGACAATGTCTGCAAAATCTGGCCCGGATATTGTCCACAGTTGCCCTTTCACACATGTTGCACACAACAGGAGATGGTCTGTGTCAGATGTGTTCTCACCTATTGCAGATACTCAGACTGGTTTATGGGGGGTGCGTCTGGGTAGTGTGAGCATGAGGTGTTATTATAAACAACTGAGGGTAAAGTCCACGTAATGTCTGAGCCAACTGTCTCAGACATTTGCATTCTCACATGCAGCTCCTCCAGGAAATGTCTTGATAATTTCAGGCTGTCGGTGCATGAAAAGGGTTCTAATGATTAATATCAGGGCTGATCATGGCAGATTTTAACGTATCATTACCAACACTAATGAAAACGTGATCCTGTTTTTGTCAAAGTCTACTGTGATTCTTTAGTGTGTCTTGTCTATCGCTGCCTGTGAGCGTTGGAGATGTCGCTACACAAGATATCCATGGATCCTTATGTCTTAAATCCTGTAAATCAAAGGCGTTCAATTTGCACTAGTATGATTAATAAGAGTTTAGTTTTACACAGTGCATTCTAAAATCTTAGTTAACAGTCTAGAGATGTTTTTATCTTAGAATTAATTAATGTGAGGTGACCTGGAGTAAGTGGAACCCACAGCACACAGGTGTTTCCATGGTGGGGGCATTGTAACTATGTTAATTATCAGCTTCTGCAAAACTAGCTTGAATTTAGTATTATGGCTCCATCCATAGGATGGGGTGGGGTAGCGCTTTGTCATTTCAGGCATTTACATGACAAAGGAAATTGGTTACTCAGGTCCTAACAGTGACATAATAAAAACACAAACCTACATTAATAAATATGAATAATAAAAATGCAAATACAAGCTAAAATACACAGCAATAGTGTACAAGTAGCATTTTCATTTAAGACCAGCATTAATTAGTCTTCACAGTGCTGACAGTGTTGGTACTCTGAGTTTATCTGTTGTGCAGACCCCCAGATATTTGAAGTAGGACACCACTTCACTTAAGAACACGTATGTCTCTGTCCTCAGCTGATCTTGTGTGGCAGCTAAAAGTACCTCTTTGCCCATCTGGCTGTACTTTGTATTTAAAAAAAAGCTAATGAAAGATATTATTATAACATTCATTGTAAAAGATTAACAGATGATGGATCTTCACAGTCATTTGGGAACACCATCTCACAGAATGTGCTACATTTTCATCACTGACATGAGATCAACTGATCGTTTTACCTGCGAAGATGTTTCGCTCTGTTGGAGTTGTTGGAACGACAAAGAAGCACTTGCTTCAGTCTAATTATTCTGTGCTGTTACAGAGTGATGCCTCTTACCTTACATCAAATGAAAGTACAGTTTTAGTATCTTTGACCAATATCTACAGTTTGTGTGTATACAGTGGAACCTTGTTTTGTTTTTGCAAGACAAGCAAAAAGTTTTGATATATGAGCGAGGTCTCACAATACGAGTAGTACGTACGCTTTGTCTGCTGAGTGTCACGTGACATACGTCACAACTGAGCCAGTGATTCTCACAGTCACGTGACGTACGTCACAACTGAGCCAGTGATTCTCGCACTTCACTCATTTAGTCAATATCTGTACTGTAACAAGGGCCCCTCACTCCAGCCATGATTCTTTTCAAAGGTAATGTGTAGGTTTTATTTTTACTTTATACTGTATTTTGTATTACTGTAATCATTTTTATATGGATAAGTGGGTGTGGAATGAATCCTCTGAGTTTCCATTATTTCTTATGGGGAAATTCGCTTTGATATACGAGTATGTTGCTGGAACGAATTATACTCGCAATCCAAGGTTTTACTGTATTGTTCATCTGTACGCATCCTATCCCACTTTCCAACTCTGTTAAAGGTGCCCTGTGGAGTTGTTGTGGTTACATTCACTGTTTCTTACATAGTGGGAATCCTTGAGGTATAACAAACATTTTTCATTTTTCCTTCCTCATCTAACGTGTAAAGCCAGCATCGTTTACATTTCTGTTTTCTCGCTTGTATTCGTCTTCTTCTCATTGCTACTGTGAACTAGAAGCCACCTGGAAACACCTGGCTCCACAGCACTCGCCAGACAGCAAACTGACCAGCAGCATTAGAACAGCTGTCTATAAACAGTGACGCTTCATTAGTGCTGATGTGTTCTAATGTGACTCTGATGTTGTTTCTTGTCCAGATGTCCACAACGCAGAGTTCATCCTGACAGGAGTTCTCACCCAGAAACTTGACTACGACTCATATCCTTTACAAGCCAATGGCAGCAACGAAGGGAACCTGGCACTGCATCAGTATTTGACACACTGGGAATGTGACTTGCTGTTGCAGCATGAAAGCTCAGTGGGTTACAGTTAGCAGCAGCATAGCATGAAGAGCTATTTTCACACAGCTGTCATTGTCACTGACCACTTACTGCTTCAGCAGTAGAACTGGCAGCTGTGGTCATTCTCTGATTTGTTGCACATTAAAGAATATAGTTATTATAAAAGATGAGATGTACACAAAGGCATTAATATGCAGTCTAAGTGTTATTGGACACATTTTCTGTTGTTCAGGCTCTGTGCATTCAATTTGAAATAATATATACACACCTGACATCAGTGCAGCAATTTCCTTAAAATCACACCATGACCCAGGGTTTGACATTAACAATGGCCCATGGCCACCAAAGATTACTGTGCAGCCGCCATACGTCCCCAGCAGGTGGCCCACTGTACCATATGATTTCAAAGAAATAGTTTTCAATGTAAATGATTATTTTCATGGGGGGGGGCTGCAAAAACACTGATCTAAGAGAGCGTATATGAATAACTTGAGTTTTCAGTTTAAACAAAGTCACATATTTTCATTCTGTTTTTGTTTTCATTTATTAAGGCTGGTAACTTGCGTTAAATTGCTTTTCCTGTATTGTTTTTTTTTTTTTTTTAGATAAATATCTTTTACATTTCCATTTTATATATACACCACAAATGCTCCTTGGCCACCAGATTTAGGGGCTTAGTGGCCCATGGGGCCAGTGCTTAAAATTATTAGCATCTGTCACTGATCCATGGAGACGCACAGCAGCACTAAATACCTACATCAATTACAGAATGTTTAAAAATAGACTTGTTTCTAAATGAGCTGGTTCTACCATCTGCTATTAATGGATCTTGTATATTTGCTGTGTACTTAAGATCATAAAATGGTCTGTGGCCAGTTGACTACAAATCACATGCTGTGCTTTACCTTCCTGTTGAGCATTTCAACTAAAATCAGCTTGAACCCGCTTGAGGCAACTAATGCTTTGGGGGCGTTACAACATTACAGTAACATAAAATAAGCTGACCCGCGGTGTTACTGGTTCGTTACCTCTGCTGAACAGCTGGAGGTGTATTATTAACGGTGATTCTGTGTTGTGGAAAAAAAGTCCCTTTCCTTGACAGTCACACATATAAGTTCACTTGATGGTGATGCAGTGATGAGATGAAGAAGAAGGAAGAACAGATCAGGAAGTCACCTGCATACAGTCCAGCAACACTAACTTTTCAGTTTTTATTTTGTGCAGAGATCTCCAATCATTTTGTAGTCTTTTGTTACCTGTTTGGGAATAAATAAATAAATGTATGATATTTTTGTGAAATAAATGTCTAAATTATGGAGAATTTTAATAATTTAGTTGTTTAAATCAAATGTGTAAAAGCTTCTGCTCCTACACTGATTTTTGGAATAAAAACTAAATTTGTTTGTGAGTATTGTCTTTGCTTTCTGATCATGTTGTGGATTAAAAGTGACACAGGTTGTCGGTAGTGTCGGACTTCAACCCACCTTTAAGAAGCTTAAAAGAACATAATTCAATAACTGAATATAAACAGGGGTTTTGGGTGTCAACGACTTTCTTCACACGTCAAACAACTCCAGCATTCATGTTTAGTGAGAAGGGGACATTTCAGAACAAAACCTGTCTCAGCTTCATAGTTTAGAAACCTTTCTTCAGGGTATTCCATGTTTCAGCATATAATTCCTGATAGATTTGATTTAATTAATACTGTAGTATTAATTATCTGTAGTTCCTGGTGAAGTTCTAATTACTGTTCTAATAACAGGTTCAACCCAGAACCTTCCTGCTGTGAGGCTGCAGTGCACCAACATTCCGCTCAGGTTCTTTTCTTAGACCGGTTTGCAGATGGATTAAAGATGAGTAAAGAACTTTACCTTTCAAATGGGACCAAGGTTATGATTTGATTTAAAAGGATTTAAAAAAGTAAATCTATTTTTTGTATGTCATTTTTGAGCTTGTGCACAATAGTGGTGCATTTAAATAAATTATAATTTTGTTTATGTTATAAACATGCAGTAAATGTGTTGGGGGAATGTTACAGTGAGGAACAGAAGTATTTGAACACCCTGCGATTTTGCAAGTTCTCCCACTTAAAAATCATGGAGGGGTCTGAAATTCACATTGTAGGTGCATTCCCACTCTGAGAGACAGAACGAAAAAAAAAAATTTTCAGGAAATCACATTGTATGATTTTTTAAAGAATTTATTTGTCTTGCACTGCTGAACATAAGTATTTGAAGACCTGAGAAACAGCAAGAATTCTGGCTCTCAAAGACCTGTTACTGTGCCTTGAAAAAGTCCACCTCTACTCCACTCATTAATCTAAATTAGTAGCACCTGTCTGAGCTCTTTAAAGACACCTGTCCACCCCACAGTCAGTCAGACGCCAACTACTACCATGGGCAAGACCAAAGAGCTGTCAAAAGACACCAGAGACAAAATTGTGGACCTCCACAAGGCTGGAAAGGGCTACAGGGCAATTGCCAAGCAGCTTGGTGAAAATAGATCAACTGTTGGAGCAATTGTTAGAAAATGGAAGAGGCTAAAGACGACTGTCAGTCTCCCTCGGACTGGGGCGCCATGCAAGATCTCACCTCGTGGGGTATCACGGATGATGAGAAAGGTGAGGAATCAGCCCAGAACTACAAGGGAGGAGCTGGTCAATGACATGAAGAGAGCTGGGACCACAGTTTCAAAGGTCACTGTCGGTAGAACACTACGCCGTCATGGTTTCAAATCATGCATTGCACGGATGAGCAGGGGAACCTTCCGTGCAATGCATGATTTGAAACCATGACGGCGTAGTGTTCTACCGACAGTGACCTTTGAAACTGTGGTCCCAGCTCTCTTCATGTCATTGACCAGCTCCTCCCTATCGTTCTGGGCTGATTCCTCACCTTTCTTATAATCAGTGATACCTCACGAGGTGAGCTCTTGCATGGCGTCCCAGTCCGAGGGAGACTGACAGTCGTCTTTAGCCTCTTCCATTTTCTAACAATTGCTCCAACAGTTGATCTATTTTCACCAAGCTGCTTGGCAATTGCCCCGTAGCCCTTTCCAGCCTTGTGGAGGTCCACAATTTTGTCTCTGGTGTCTTTTGACAGCTCTTTGGTCTTGCCCATGGTAGTAGTTGGCGTCTGACTGACTGTGGGGTGGACAGGTGTCTTTAAAGAGCTCAGACAGGTGCTACTAATTTAGATTAATGAGTGGAGTAGAGGTGGACTTTTTCAAGGCACAGTAACAGGTCTTTGAGAGCCAGAATTCTTGCTGTTTCTCAGTTGTTCAAATACTTATGTTCAGCAGTGCAAGACAAATAAATTCTTTAAAAATCATACAATCTCAGAGTGGGAATGCACGTACAATGTGAAGTTCAGACCCCTCCATGATTTCTAAGTGGGAGAACTTGCAAAATCACAGGGTGTTCAAATACTTCTGTTCCTCATGTACATGATTGTGAGAAACATACTAGCCATATTAAAAGGTCCTTCCAGTTTGAGTAGATGGTGAGATTGTAGCCTTGCAGCTGAAAAGTATCTTTCATAACATGTTCATACCTGCTGACATTGTCAGGTTCCCCCCAGAAACCCAGGACCTAAATGCATGACTCAACAGGTACTAAGAAGGTTTAATTAAAGGATTACAGGTGGGGGCAGAGCTGCACCGGAATTGGAAACCGTGAAGGTGTGTAGGTGGAACTGGGGGCTGCTTCTGGATCACCAGAGTCGTGGCAGACTCGGGTTCACTGCTCCCATTCTGCTGGTCAGCTGCTTAGCCTCAGAATGGCATCTTCCAGAAGGAGGATGGCAGCTGAGCGATCGTTATATCGTTTCCCACCCAGGAAAAATGGTGAATGCAAAAGACTGCAAACTGCAGCTGGCAAAAACAATAACCTACACAGTGGAGTTAAATATAACCAAAAATGCATAAGCACCAAACTTTATGAAACACAAAAAGCCACAAACAAAAAATACTGAGCACAGTCTCAAACACGTATGTACTAGTAGGATATATTTGTAAGGAAATAGAAAATACTGCAGTACAAAGTAATTTTTAGAAGTATTTCAGAGTTGTTCAGTTGAATTGCTGAAGCAGTAAAAATAACTGGTTGTGAAGAAATAATTGTAAGTGAAAGGCTGGTGGAGAATTGAAATATATATTACTAATGTACTATATTACTTTCTAAATTTCTAGCATTTAAGACCAGTGTTTATCATGGTCATCCCCAAATTAACCACCAAACTTGGAGACCTGGGCATCAGCACTAGATGCAATTAGATTCTGGACTTTCAGACCAACAGGCCTCAGCACGTTAGGTCAGACAACACCTGCTCCGCCACCATCCTCCTCCTCAATCATGCTATGCCTCCTCCCACAGCACCTGGCACCACACAGCCAGGTGCCATTCTTTGAATGCAGTGCTGTAATTATCAGCTGTTGTAATAAGGATTTGTTTGTACTAAAAGTGATTCCCTGGTGTGCACTGACCAGTGAATCAGTGATCTCTGATCTCTGTTCCACTCCAGCTGGGGAGTTTTGTTTCAAAGTGTAAATTACTGTTGTTTAGTGCATTATCAACTGGATTATTTAGCTGATACAACAGAAAGGTTTGACTGCAATTATGCTTGGGTTTGGGTTTGATCAATCACAGTATAATTACAAGTCACTGTGCAATGCATATACACTTACTTACACAAACAAACAGTCATCATACACTTATTTACATATGCTCACACTATACTCACACACACAGCATATACTTTATAAACACAGATGTTAAAGATGGAACTGTGGAACTTCAATGCAACAGCACTAGTCTGTTGTATATTGTACATCACCCTACATATCTTACTGTAAATATCAGTTGTACATATCAGTAAATTAGTTCTGACTGTACATACTGTAGATACTGTGCACCCTGCACTGCTGTTATTGCACTTCTGGTTAGATGCTAAACTGTATCTTGTTGCCGTGTACTTGTGCATGTGTAATGACAATAAAGTTGAATCTAATCTAATCTGTAAGAGAGTTAGGGGTTCAGTCTGGGGATTTAAACATGCAAAAAATATAGAAGTACAATAAATATCATTGCAATCTACACTTACATTTATTATTTACAAGATTCCATTCCAGATTAACACCTTTTACTACTGCTGTCAGAGACTTCAGCTGTGAAGTTTGTATGACACATTCGTTCCAAGCACCTTCATAGAAAGATTTGGACAAAACCAAGCTCCCAGACACTGAATCTTTAGCCTTCTTACAGGCCTTAGATTCCCTTTGAGCAGACAACAAAGGACAACTCTGGCATCCAACTGAGAGGTTTGTACAACACATTTGTTCTGAGCAATGCACTCAGAGGGTTTCAGCTAGGATCTTTAATATAGTTGATTTGGTATCTGTATTGTATCGGTGTTTGTAATTGGGGAAACTGTGTTTCAGAGTAATTATATAATAAAAAAAACTATATGAGTATCCTCTGGCATTTACATAATGTTTCCTGTTTGATAAATACCATGTTGATCACATGTTAAAACCTTGCAAGTACAAGCATTTTAATCAGTGTATTTTGTGCTTTATTAATTTAGTATTTTGTCCCTAGATAAAAGACAAGGAATAAGGAAGGGAAAGTTATTTTAATATTGCTGAGTTAGTATAACAGATAATACTTCTGTGGGTACCATGTCCTCTTTTTTTGATATACTGATTAAGATTTTAATTGTTCAGCAACTGTGATGGTGAGGTTGCACTGAATAAGGAATTTCTTTGAATTAATAAAGTATAAACATCTGATACAAATTTTGTGCTGGTAATTAGAAGTGAATCGCTAAATTTGGTTTTGATTTATATCCAATTAACTGCCTAAATTAAAAAAAAATATTATTGAATGCATCAAAGGTCTGTTAATTATAGTTTTAATTATTTTCCTCTGAATACCTGTTTGTGGTGCTGCAAGTGTGATATGGTAATGGTTACAGCAGAACTGGAGAAATAAATAATTATTTCATTTTATGTTTGCGCACTGTGGGGCATACATGCATGCTTGTGGAAGATTACACATTGGTGTGTTTTTACAAAACTGATCAGTCATTCTTTGAATGCAGTGCTGTAATTATCAGCTGTTGTAATAAGGATTTGTTTGTACTAAAAGTGGTTCCCTGGTGTGCACTGACCAGTGAATCAGTGATCTCTGTTCCACTCTAGCTGGGGAGTCACTTCTTCCTACTCCATTCAACCATGTACTAGGTATAAGCAAATTGATATTGGATTAGCATTTGTTGGATATGTGTAAAATTATGTGTGTTGACATATCAACTGTCTTTACATGCTTGAAAGAATAAGTCAAATCAAATCAATGCATATACACTTACTTACACAAACAAACAGTCATCATACACTTATTTACATATACTCACACACACAAGCATATACTTTATAAACACAGATGTTAAAGATGGAACTGTGGAACTTCAATCCAACAGCATTGAAGTCTATAAAAATGTACAAGTGGCCGATGTGTATGTGTGTGTTTGTGTTTGTGTGAATGGAGCTCTTAGCCAGAGACATTAAGATAGAAGAGTTGCGACATTGAGGGGGTCAAAAATAGCAGCAGGTCACGTGACTCAAGGAGCCTCAAATGGCTCCTTAATGCGCTCTGCTCTTAGCCATAGTAGTCACGTGATCCAACACACGGAAGCGAAAACGTAGGTTGTGCTCTCTACTGTTCTTTCAGCCGCTGTCGCCCAGTAATAAGTATTTTAGAAAAAGAAAAGCAAGACACACTGTTGCCTGGTGTATTTTACCTGTGGTTTGTATGGACGAAGAGGTTCGTTTCGATCGGAACTTCCCAGTCTGTAATTTAGCGACAGGGTCAGATGGAGTAGCGCCTCGACACAGACAGTAGCTTAGCTGTGACGTGAGCCCTAGTTTATGCCTCTCAACTCGAATCCCAGATAACTCCTCCGATAACCCCGGAAAGTCACACACGGCCACCGTTTCACACCAGGACAGTAATTTTCACCCAAATTATGAAGGTACTTCCAGAACCTTCATAGTCTCTTCCAACGACTAGGAATCAAAACGAATCAAAGAAAAACATATGTGTGATACGGTTGAAGGATGTGATGAAAAGGAACAGCATTTCTGCTATTTGGAATGATTTCGGATTCAGGAGAGACACCGTATTACAAACAGAGGTAGGCTGCTGTGTCAAATACTTTGTTACAGGTAAATGTTCTATGTTCAACATCCCAGCTAGGAAGGAACGTTCCCACCATAGATCAATGAGGTCTTATCATTCTAATGTCATTTGTATTAGTCTGGTTCTGAAAAGTCACTAACGTTGTAAAGTACCATATTTGCCTCAAATGCCATTTAATGTTTAATCTTGGGTACCTCTGGATTAGCTTGGCACACATCATAACTCCAAATAGTCTAATTGTTTCAGAACAATAAAACCAGAGAGCCTCTTCATGAAGACACACACACCTCCTACTGCCTGTGTTATGTCAAAAGTGGACAGCACAACGAACCACAACAGCATTAGTTAATATGAATTTCTCCCCCATAGATAAGTAAACAATAGTATATGTACCGATGAAAAGAGATGTGTAACACTGTAAACAAAGCAGGTAATTGAGAAACCCCATATTTTAACTGGTACAATGCAGACATAGTAACTTCTCCAGCCTTACAACAATTCTAACATTACAGAAACAAGGCATTAACAGACATGTAACGTGTTTATTTTACTCACCGTTAAGTCCCACTGAGTAGTGGAAACATCACTCCCTTTCAAGTAGCTCCACGGTTGGTAAATCCATTTCCATTTTTCATATTTTTGGTGGGCCGTGTCCCCTAGCTGCTCCCCCATGGAGATTGCCCCCTAGTAATAACATCTATGGCTTGAACATTCACCCTCTGACAAATGGCTACTTATTCACATTGTTATTCTGCCACACCAGAGAATGAAGTCAGTCCAACATTTGATCATATGGGCAATTACCTTTGCCACCATAGGAAAAGTGTTTACATGGCCCTTGAAACATGCCACAAACTAACTGTGCATGTGGGCATGTCATAGGTGTGCTCCGGTACTTCATACATTAGCACCACACCTCTGAGTGCACGTTTTTCCTTCTCACTGTGTTGCCAAGTGCTTGCACAAGTGTAAGGTCTAGACTGGATTATGTAAAGTGCCCTGAGACAATTCTTTTTGTGAATTGGCACTATACAAATAAATTGAATTGAATTAATGTCATGATATAATAGTTTAACAGTATGGTATATATAACATGTTTCTGCATTGGACAGCCTATTTCCACTTGTAATACTTTGAGTACATTTTCGTGTTAATACTTAATTGTGGGATCAATAAAGTCTTACCTTACCTTAATATTACTTGTAACGGAGAAGACTGTTTTGTGATATTAGTACTTTTACTGTGAATACGTCCTAATTACTTCTAGACCTAACATGCAAATTAACATGCTTTAGCTATACAACATGTTCAAGTTATATGCTTTTTTTTAAAATAATACTGTTTATTCTTTAGGGTCAATCTAGCGCTGCAGTCCCTCTCAATCATTCCTTCAAGGGTCGTCGTAGCTGATAACAGTAATTGTGTAATACTGTGAAACCGTGATATTTTCTAAGACAGTTATCATACCATGAAGATCTCATATAAAGGGGGGTGTACTTTCTTTTTACTGTGACCATACATGCTTTACTATGCAGTAAAGTGGTACACATCCCTAGACTATGCACCATTTGGCTCCAAACAAAGCCAGTTGGTAAAGAGGCATGGGCCTCTTTTAACTCTAAGACTTTGCCAATCTGGTCCAAAACGCCATATTTTACATTCAGTTAACCATCTTTGATCTAACATTACAAAGGGTTTAATATTCCCTTCCAGAGATGAGTTCGTGTTTGCTGGAGGAGGTGACCTTCCATCGCTGCTGCCAGATGCTCCTACAGCAGTCAGAGCAGCTTCGAGATGGCTGGAGCTGGGAGCCGGTCCAGGTTAGAAGGTTTCTGCTGTCACTGTCATTAGTGTAGATGAAGCCTGAAAGCTTGCTGTGCTCCATTAATGTGGTTAATGGAAGTTTCTAATGTGGGTTCAGGGTTCACAGGAGGGCTACCTGAGGAAGACTGCTCTGAAGTCAGCTGTCATTAGCTCAAACCCAGTGTGGGACCTGCAAGGATCCATTTCAGACTCAGGGTCACACACCTCTTGTCACTCCGGTCCTGATGAGCAGGGAGAGGAGAAGGACCAGGTGAAAGACTGAATTATGTACAGTAGGAAAACTTGGCATCATTACTTTGTTTTTCATTAATGCCTTTATTAAGTATCACTGAATGTGAGCAATTTAGTTCCTTTAATTTTTCAGTTATATTAAAACAAAACTTTAATTGCAGTATTAAATGAATGATCTGCACACACTTCTCTCCCTTTAATAATAAGAATTTGATTTTCTAAATGAAAGGTAATTGCAGTTTTCCAATTTGAAGCAGCGAAAAGCCCCTTTTACACAGAGATTGTGGGAAACTGCCAGTATTTTAACCCTTCCTCAAGGTGACTTTTTGATTTAAGCCATTTTACACTAAACTTAAAAAAGTTGGCAAACCACCGCTCCAGTTTTAATTTCACACAGCCGCTGGAATCCCGGTACTAGAGGCATGATGCTTACCAGGATATCTGAAGGTCCGTGTACTTTGTGGCCAATTAGAAAACGAAACAAATGGGCTGTTGTCTGGTTGTGTTTGATATATTTATACTGGTGGGCTTCCATTTGACCAGGCTAATAGGCTGGAAAATAAAGTCCTAGCTACGCCACTGACTCACACACAAGGTGCACTTCACCACAGACCAGACATAAGTGTGCGCTGTAGCTGAATTCACACAAAATCCTGAGGGTTGTGGCTATGTTTATTTATGCTAACCACAATGAAACAATATAGTTTTAATTCTCCCCTCATTCACTCTAGCTCTCTCTCTCTTATGCGGACCTCCAACCCCCTGTTCGTTCTTGTCCCATTTATGCAGGAGGTGGGGAAAACTCGTCTCGGAAAAAACTTCTTCTTCTTGTTGCAGCATTTTGGGCGGTCAGCATTGACCCCCATGCCAGTACTGTACCCTTTACATATAGCAGAATGGCTAGGCACAGCACTGGCAGAAAACCCCCGCATCAAATGGGCAGTGTAAAAGGGGCTGCAGATAAGATTGAGCTGCCATGTGTAGTGAATGCTGCTGTCTCTTCCTCCACAGTCTGTTCTTGTTGCCTCAGTTGATGCTGATGCCACCAATGGTGCCATACATGATGACAATGATGGGGTCTGTATGGTGTCTGAAGGCAGCAGCCAGGTGCTTCAGTACGAGTATCACATCATGTACTCCTGCAGCTACAGTACTCCTGTACTCTACTTCAGAGCCTCCACTTTGGGTTAGTTATGTGACATGGTCGGTGCATACACACACATTGTTGTTATAGATTGTACATTGTGGGGATCTGACTTAGGACTGAAGTTCATGTGTTCTTTGTGGGTGGTTAGTTTGTGTTTTACTTTGGCCTCCCAGTTTTGAATGTTTAATCACTGAGAAATAAGGGGCCACTAGGACACCTCCTAATCTACTGCAGCAGTAACAGGGACTTATTCATAAATTACTACATAGTTATTTTTATACCCCATTAATATCATCCTGCAGCTACACTGACTGCAGGGCTTAAGGTTCTCTGACAAAGAGAACAATGTAAGAATAGGCCTATTGCTGTATATGTATATATGTATGGAGCCGTAAGGAATCCTGTATTTTGTATTAACAAAGTAGACCTACTTTATAAATAAACTCTTGTTTACACTTTGGCTCCGTTAGGTATCAGCTCACTAATGCATATGACCGTGGCTACTTTGAAAAAGCGCTGCAATAAATAGGCTGAGAATAGGCCTATTGCTGTATATGTATGTATGTATAGAGCCATAAGGAATCCTGTATTTTGTATTAACAAAGTAGACCTACTTTATAAGTAAACTCTTGTTTACACTTTGGCTCCATTAGGTATCAGCTCACTAATGCACATGACCCTGGCTACTTTGAAAAAGTGCTGCAGTAAATAGGCTATTCATTTTGTTTTTACATCGACATGATCTTTTGGAATAATTTGGCAACTGTTTAACAACAGTAGGTCAATAATGCCCCGTACTGATGTTTAATATAGCCCAAAGGAGGAACGAGTGTTGAAAAGTTTGAGAAAGGCGTACTGGATTGGATGTTCTTATGGCTAAGCATTCATTTTGTTTTTACATCGACATGATCTTTTGGAATAATTTGGCAACTGTTTAACAACAGTAGGTCAATAATGCCCCGTACTGATGTTTAATATAGCCCAAAGGAGGAACGAGTGTTGAAAAGTTTGAGAAAGGCGTACTGGATTGGATGTTCTTATGGCTAAGCTGTGCTTGGACTTGGATACAATTACCAGACTATGGTTTCTGACTGAAAAAGGATGAGTACAGAGTACATTTGGACCTTTTAAGTTAAAGTGAGGACTCACATTTAGAAACAGTTTGATTTGGTGCTCCTGTCTGTCCGAAACGGGCCTACAGCTCACTGGGCTGTGTTTTTAGCATCTTAGACCAATATCTACAATTTGTGTTATGTTTGTGCGTGTAGTTTGTTCATTTAGAGCGTATAACAGTAACCTACATTAGGTATCTACTGTTGAACGGAGAGCACAGCAGCCTGTGTTGTCTCTCTTTCATGGAGAACTTGAAGTAGCAAATAAAAATAAATGTTTTAGAGCCAGTAGTAAAACCGAAAAATAGCCTAGCTGACCCTGATAGGGTAGCTACTTCACAAGGCTGACTGTGGAAGTCACTATGCTAACGATGGCTGGATCACTGTGATATTTAATGAATATGGTTCAGTCCGATATGCCAAAATGTTGTGAACAGAAGAACCATTTGTGCTCCTGTTGGCCAGCGTCGACCCACCTTGTTGTAGACGTTGAAAAACATTCTGACATGCTAGATTTGGTGTTGGGGTGTCATGAAGTGTTCCAGACGCAGCATCAGTTGAAGTTTACTATGACACACTATATGAGATAAAATGATCGATTGTCATGTCTCACGTTGTTTTTTGGTTCCAAAGCCCTATGTCCATCATGTCTGGCTGTTATCGGGCTTAATCATTCACTAACAGAAATTTAGACCAGAGAGATCTGATATTTAATAGTCCACATTTGATTGTCCTATTACTTTCTACTATAAGAGGAGTCGTCTTAATTTTAATTAGGTTCTTATGAATAACTCCTCTGGAGTTGATTCTTGATTTATATAATTTAGGTGTGCAGGGGGCAGACACAGTCTCTATGGGGTACTGGGAGCGTTGGGTGGGTAGCAGCTGCAAGGAGACAGCAGAGAGGCGTGTAAGACTGCGACCCTGCATCCTGGACTCAACTCTGGGTTGTCATATACGGAGTCCGACATTGTTTTAGCGAAGTTACACACTGACTCAACATTAATTTTAGTGACCTCCGACTGGTGAAGTCAGGAGTCATTAGCGCCGACGTGAATAACAACCTTACAGTATTTACGCTTATCCTTAGTCAGCAGCTTCAAATAGGATTCAATGTCGCCCGCTCTGGCCCCAGGAAAACATTTGACTATGGCCGCCGGTGTCTCTAGCTTCACGTTTCTGACTATGGAGTCTCCAATTACCAGAGTTGTTTTCTCAGCGGGTGTGTCGCTGAGTGGGGAAAATCGATTTGAAACGTGAACAGGCAGGTGATGCTCCATGGACATTCGTTTGGAGCTACGACTCTTGTGAGCTGTCACCCAGCCACCTGTCTGCTTAGGAAGCACTGGGGGGCAGCTAGATTGGGCTGAGCTACGTCTAGGAGGCCCCACACCGGCTACATGGGCCTGGCTAGCTTGGCTGTTCTCAATGGTTTTGGAAAAGAATATTGAAAAAACGAGTCAGGTTTTTTGTGTTTTTTGATTTTTATTATGAAAAACGAATGAACAAATAATCCACGCTTCATTTCTCACCATCATACAGCTGATCAGACATTTGCTGTGTCCCAATTCAGGAGCCACATCCTTTGAAGGCTGCATTTGTATACTGATTACATCACAGTGTTGTGACAAGGCCGTCCCATTTCGAAGGCTCCTTCGAATGTGGCAGAGAAATGTGTCCTCCTTTCACTCGGCAACGAAGGCTCCAACTGGTGGATCCTTCACAGCTCAGTCTATCCCAAGATTCTTTGCACACAGAGAGCAGACAGTGTCATTTCAGTTTGGCCCCTGGTCTGGTCTTCACAGTCTGCAACGGCTGCACATAAGCCATGCCTTCAGATACTGCGTCCTTTGGATGTGACCCCTGATTTGATACACAGCTATAGTCTGCCACTTCCTTCATTGTGTCATTTTTAATACCTTCTTGAAATCACATGCTTAACTTTGGACAAGTTGATGAAAAAACAAGTTTGCTTTTTAGGTGAGATGTTGAGGTGTGCGGTATTTGGAAGAAAACACATCACATCTCACATCGTTCAGCTCTGAAAACATTTTTCTTTTAATCAAGTATCAGACAGAAGTGTTCATTTGTAATCCTTTGAAACATCACAGTTTGACAGGGTCTGTGCACCGTTTCAATATCTCAGTGATGTCCGTCTTTAATGGGGATGCCCTGTGTGATATTTTGCTGCTGATGCTTCCTGTTTCTTCCTTGTGTCTCACTGAATCAGAGGGAAGGAGCCTGTCATTAGAGGAGATGTGGAATTCTGTTCATCCCAACTTCAGGCTTCGACTTCAAAACAGTCCTTTCACTACAATCACTCAGCAGGTAAAATTGGGAAAGACGGGGCCTTTGGCTTTATTATCACCGTCTGCCTTCTCAAAGCTGTCCTTGTCTCTGTGTCTGTGTGTTAGGAGCATCCCCTGCTGGGTCAGCCTTTCTTTATGCTTCACCCCTGTAGAACAGAGGAGTTCATGAGGCCTGTGCTGCAAGCAGCTCAGGACCAACACAGGTAGGATCACTACTGTTTTCACTAGTCCAAAAACATAATGGAAGAGTGTGCTTACACATGAAGCGGTTTGA